ACAGATTGAACTTCACCACTATTGAATCAATATTGTGAGTGATTTTCGCTGGAACAATAAGAAATTGGCAATTGTCGCCGTATAGTGGGTAGCATTTCGTAGCCGAGCAGGCTTCATTTCTGACATGGCCTCCACAATCAATCCCATGATGCAACAATCAAAGCAAAAACCTCTCTTCTAGGACCCGTATCTTTCTTAGAACTTTTGTGGTGTCTATTAAAACATTGAATTTTCAGCGAGAATTCATCGAAGTATTTTTCCAAGCTTATGTTCCTACTTTCAGAATCAAGCCGAAACAGTGGAAAATAGCACATTACGGAGAGTGTTCCAAGGCATTGTGAGAAGACGTGAGGTAAGGAGAGCTATGTATGATAATTTCCTCGCTTCCCATTCTGCAATATATTCTATGTAAATGGGACTGTAAATTCGTGTTTTTCTTCAGAGCGAATTCGATCAACGCATTGCTGCAGAACCGGCAACTTCAAAGAGGACACTGCAAAGTGAACCGGTGGTATACGTCGAGAAGAATGGTCAGCTATTAGCTTTTGCTTGTGATAGCTTTCCATGCTCAGTGCAGCTAGAGCGGGGACTACCACTGGACATTATAATCGCACCTACAAATGTAACTCCTGCCTAGTTGTTAGCTCCATTGAGTTCAGGCCTTTGACTGCTGGCGCTGCTGCTCTTTACATGACAAGTTTTGATTTCCCACACCAGTCCTTTTCCAGGCACCTGAAGTAATTTATTCGCCCAAATCGGCCGACCTGAAGCGTTCACCGAAACTCCTGGCCTTTCCTATAAAGAGTAAATAGCCTCTGGAACCTCTTTTTGAGATGCGCCACGCATTCAGAATCAGAGTCACTTTTAACGTTAGTCATTAGCTCATACAGTGACGTCAGGGTCACTGTCAAAAGCTCATTTCATTGTGCGAATAATTTTGTCCTCATACCATATAAGACTGGTGTTAGCGCTTGCTTTGCATTACTAGGATTTGATCCAAGGCGAACCTCCCAGATCGTGTGCCGTGTGGAAATGCGTCAATTTTAGGGTCGCACTCTCTAGCATAGGATGCATTTGCTTGTGTTACATATTCACTTTATGTAAGTTCGATATTGAGTACTACAGTACTGATTCAGCACCATGTTCTCCGATAGGGCCGTTATCCCCCCTAGGGTGTGGGGGGGGGAGAGCTGTTCTCAACTGGACACATATGGGCTTTAGGTCCTTTTTATCTTGTATAGAGTGCTAAGATACGCTAGCTTCATTAGTTGCGCTTATGACGGGTCGGTAGGATTCATAATAGAGTATGAGTGACACAATCCAAAGCACGTGCACATGTCCTCGTCCACAGTTCACGAATCACGAACCTTAAAGGACGAATTCACGATGAAAAGGCAACCCATTTCAAATTAACCTAGGGATGGTGAGTGGTACACGAAAGAAGGAAGAACCATGAGAAACGGCCCAGAACCCGAGAAATGGGACCCCTTCCTTGCCCGTTGATTCGAGCATTGATGCGACTCTCATCGCTGTGCCCTCTTCAACACTACGCTCTCTCAGCTATCTAATCACTCGCCACGTATTGAACTACGGCGAGTGATCAGATGATCGGTGGGCGGAGATCGCCAGACCCGCCAACTTTGAGGCATAATAGGTCGCCGAGGTCAAATTTTTCATGCGAATTGCGCGTCAGTTCGCACCCTCAGGAGGTCCGTGGGTCCCTCAACTAGGTAAGTTACTTCTTTCCTCGACCTTCATTCTAATCGTGAATTCCTCCTTTAAACTGCGTGAAATCATTAATGGTTGGAAAGAAGGTTCTGCAAACACTCTTTCTGGGAATTTTCCTTTTTTTGTGCCACGATAATTCATGGTAACATTGGACTAGATGTACATTCTCGGGGCTTTCGTCCACGAGGTAGATATAAGTGCTGCAAATCAGTAGTTATCCAAGAAAATTTCAAAAACCTCGACCACTAGTAAATCCATACTCCGAGTCACTGTCCTAGTACAATGTCTCCAAAACTATGGATTCGTGTCAAAGACCAACACTATCTGCAATAGCTTCAATAGGCATGTCGTTACCGCCGCTACAGCGTGTTTCAGCTTTACCAGCGCTTTCGATCTTTTGATATTTCATAAGAAGCCAGCAGCGTCCTACACACTCCATTACACAGGAAGGGCTCTTACGGAAGCTCAACTACAAATTCTTCGTTATGGGCACCATTGTGTAGGTAGAGGTCTAGGCTGCGAAACTCCAGAAGTTGGCCGAGGCAGCTCGTCAGGAGCCCTCGTACCGCGACAATATTTATTCGACATTGCAATCATGCGTTCCGAATAGCCCGAAGAAATTCTGGAGCTGCAGCAAAATTTCTTACCTCTGAGCGTATTCCCCTGGTCGAGCTATAAGTGACTGCCACCTACCCTGGACCTTAAATCATCATCTAGATGACGAAATAATTAGACGATCAACTCCAACTCGAAAGTGAGGTCGCCTCCTTTCTCGACCCGCGCTCCGGCTGGTTTTGAAAGGAAAAAATCGAGAATCGCGTAGCGTTGAAGCAGTTTATAGGCACTCACCGTAGATATAGAACCGTTCAGGAATGGTAAACAGATACCCAAATTATATCAAAAATCTGAAAAAGTTGCCAGGAATTTTCTTCCACGTAGTACTTGCATGTATGAAGATTCCAAGAAAATACTGCACAGTTCTCGCTAGATCAACTGAAAACCAAATTTCGAAATTTACTGGAGTGCCTGTTGTTTTCCATCTTCTTTTTTATACGACGAATTTCAAGTTTGAATCCAGGAAAATTCCGAGCAATGAAGAAGAATGTGTTTGAAAGGGAGAAAGAGGTTGGAGTGAAGAAGCCACATGATGACGCCTTCACTTCGATGATCGGCTTCATCTCGTCTCGACACCCAGATGTGGCGGTAGCCTACTCCTTCCAAAACAATTTTCACAACATCTCTATGATTATGCAAGGTGAGTGAATGCTTTTAAATACCTATATTTTTAATCCAAGCCAGCCGAAATGAAATGACTGTATGAATGAAGCAGTACATAAATTAGCTGAGTAGGTTGGAAACGGGTTTAACATTGTGATATCGATCAGGAAACCATCCCAAGGCTTGAATAGGATCACACGCGCCACACTGGTTCTGACTATCTTCACGTACAGTATTAACGGGACTGCAATGCAAAATAAGACCTCGATGTTTTTGTCGAACCCCGCCCTCCTCGGTACCACCCACCAATTGCAATTCCTTCCGTTGTCAGATCCTATCCTCCTTTTCCAGGTTTTCAGGACTTCTTAGAATCGAATTGTAGTTCAGCGGCAAACTCCCCGCACCTCGGCGCACGCCACGCCCATCATCGTATTTAACCTTTCCTCATTCTCTAACCTTATCCACTTTTTTTTCACGGATCCGTGACTTCTTAAAACCGATATAATGTTTCGTTGGTAACTCCGCCCACTTCAATCCTGCCCTGCCCACCAACAATAGTTATTCCCCCTTTCTACCTCTATCTGGGCGGAAGTGGTGCGCTTACCACGCGAGATCCTGGGTCGTGAGTCGCCCGGGCCAACCAAGCCTTCCATCCCTCCGGGGTCGGTTAATTGGTACCAGACTTGTCTGGGAGGATAAAAACACTGACTTGTACATCGGCTGGCCCCCGCAAGTCATTGTATAGGCCACATCGCATTCAAACGCCACTACGAATGTACAAATGGAAGTAGAATGCGTGCCGCATCCCAAAAAGGGATTGATCAACGGCAAATGCTTTATCCTTTATCCTTATCCTACCTCTATTCATTTTCCCAGTCCCCAAAACTTCTAAGAAACGAGCTATATGTTTGGTAAAAAAAAACTCCGCCCACTTGTGCAAGCAACGCCTGCCACTAACAATTAGCCTCTTCTCCTTCTCTGACCTCTATCCAGCTTTTTCCCGCTCTCCAAGGACTTCTCGGAACAGTACTAAGGACTTACAGGAAACTCTTCAAGCTCTTCAAGCTGTGCACTTCAGAGCGCGCCCGCCCATTGTGGGCGGGCCTCCGCCCACGTCATGTATGCTGGGAACACCTTAGACATTGCTCCCCTACACCAATTGTTTTCTGCTCTGTAGGCTTTCTCCCAACCGAGTTATGAAATTTTTCATAAAGCACTGCTTTTTTAGAGAACGCCCCGCCCACCGGGTGGGTCTCCCTAATTCGATGTGACTTACCAATGCACACCTTTACCCACTTTTTCCGCTGTCTGTTTTGTGACTGAACTTGGATTCTTGGCCGTTCAGTACTGGCTCGCAATAACAGCCTAGTATTGAATGCGCGGCACGCACTTGTACTAAAGGGTGCTGCACAATAGTGCACACAAGACCGAAGAGGAAGCGCCTCACTAAAGTCAGGGCAACAGCAGAAGATCCTTTGGATAGGGCATACTTGGCACATCTAGTAGACCAGAGGAGCCAGCGGTTGCTCAGGATTAGCGTTAGGGAAAAGAAGAAGAGCTGAAGAGAAAGTGCCCTTGAATAGTGTAGGGCTCTTGAAAGGACTAACAAATTCTCCACACTTTTAAGCACATAATTTTTTAGTTCCATGACCTTACTTGAGTGAATGACTCCACTTCATTGAAAACGCACGAGGTTTTTAGCGCCACGAGGGTGGTGCTAAACGACGACCGTGAACAAAAGCGCATCCAGCGCAGTTCAATGAAGAGCGCGAGGAAACTGGACAAAAATGCAAAGGTTTCAAATCAAAGCTCGAGAATAGTTGCGCATAGCAGGCCAGCAATGAGTATTCACGTATCACAAAAACGACTAGCTTTGAAGTATGCACAGAAGAAAAGGTGCGATGAAAAACGCAAAGAGGACGTGAACAATGCTCTTCGTCGAGAAAAATGTCGAGGACATGAGCGCGAAGGATCAGACCTTCAATACTCCCAGAACTTTTTAAAACATAACCAACATTCGACAAGCAGGCAAGAACGCGCTGCAAAATTAAAGCCACTAATCAGGATTAGCGTTATCCGAAGGCCTTTCCATCACTTATTATGTGTCAGACGCGCTCATGGTGACCCAGTGCGCTCCCGTTCGTGATGAGCGGCGCACAAGGTGTCCGCTGGCCTACTACTTACAGCGATGGCTTCGTTGCATCAGCTAGGCCCGCCCACCGCGGGATGTGGTGCGTGGCTGGCATAACGTGTGAAATCAGCTAGGTTGATTGCCGTATCAACCGATGGAACGGCTGGCATATCCGGAAAACTCGTTTGGACGTGCTCTCAAAGCCAGCCTCCTTCACCCCCTGTGGAGCGGGGTCCGCCTTCGACCTTCGATAACCTTCTTCAGTTTTCGGCCACGTCCTTCCATCGCCATCGCCTTCCTCACCAGGAAGGTCTTTCAGGGCGTGACGAGCTTTTTGAAAACGGTCTTTTGCATGATATAGGGGCAGATGCGGGGACCACAGAACCATGTTTAATTTTTCCTGAACGGCCCTCTACCAGAAAAGGGGGTCCCTAGTTCGATTCCTCTTGGTGACAAATTTTTGCATTTCGAGTTGACGTTCCAAAATTCGCGCAAAATGGAGTTCTGATTGTTCTGGTTGGTTCTAACTCCATTTTGCGCGAATTTTGGCACGTCAACTCGAAATGCAAAAATTTGTTACCACGAGGAATCGAACTAGGGACCTCCTTTTCTGGTATTCAGAGGGCCGTTCAGGAAAAATTGAACATGGTTCTGTGGTTCCCGCATCTGCCCCTATATCATGCAAAAGACCGTTTTCAAAAAGCTTGTCACGCCCTGAAAGACCTTCCTGGTAGTTTCATACTAACCCAAAATACCCGACTT